CAGTTGTATACGACCACATGTGGTCAGAGAACTGATGATAATGATGATTAATTACAGATGCTGATGATGATGAAGAACGGGTGTTGAAATTCTGCAGAGAAAAGACAATTTTGAATACAATTTTAAATATTTCGCAATTATTGTACAGAGCTGAATAAAATGTTGGTTTTTACATCTATTAAAAAACTTACCAGCAATACATTTTTGAAGAAAAAATATTACCAGCAATAGAAACCTTGTCGGCATTAAATAACCCATTGAGGTTGATATTCTGTAAAACAAAACAAACATTTATTAATGGATATAGGGTTATATAAAAACAGAATACTTATCTGGCACTCCAGGCGAAGAAAATCTTGTATAGTTAGCGTGATACAAAATTTAATCAGATATCACAAGATTAATACAATTTACCTTTGGACTCTACAATCACAAGAGATACTCAAAATGGTGGCCTTTAGCTTCGAAACATTTATCAGTTCGGTGACGTTGGCCAAAGTGTCGAGGCATTTTCAATTTCCTATCTAAGGACTGACAATGTAGTCGGTTTTCTACGATACACAACATCCTTTAGGACTTGTTAGTGCTACAGCCATGAAAGTGATGTCATCTGTCGAGAAAATATCGTCCTACAGTAAAGTGCCATCACAATTTGATTAAAGTACGAAAAACAAGTTTTTTGTAGACATTTTGTGGCGGATTCTGTATATATTTTTCGTGTTTCTCGTCAAAAAATAAAAAAATACATTTTTAATTCTATTCTTTTTGGCTTTCAATTATATTTTTTCAATTCTATTATTTTTATGCTTTCCTTTGGTGTTTTCTCGTCTTTTGTTAACGAAAAAACATTACTGTCGATTCACCTACCAACACTAGCCTACATTTAACAATCGATTCGCCCGAAGTAAAAAAATAAAACTAATACAATTAATATGATAAAAGCTGATAATTAAGGAGGGACTGAGATTTTTTTATGCATAAAGATGGGAAAAAATATTTAAAAATGAACAGAAAAGGAAATAGAAACCTAATCAATAATAATAACAAATCATAGATAATGAAAAGAATATTAATAAATAGAAAATGTTGACATTTATAATAACGATTAATACAACATGGCGGATAAGTTTCGTTAGAAAATGGTAAGGTATAAATAAATATGGAAACGGAAGAGGAGAGTCGGAACGAAAATAGAGAATAAAGAAAAGAAAGAAAAGCTAGGAAGTGAGAGAATAAAAAAAAGATGGCGACAATGATATAAAGAGGGAGAGAAAAACATAACAGAAATAAGAAAAGTGAAATAGAAAGAAAAAATGGGAGAAAAGAGGAAAGAGACTTACAATGAAAATAAGAAGAAAATGAAAAAGAAAGGAAAGCGAGGGTAGAAAGAAAAATATGGAAAGAAAAGAAAAAGAAGTTGATTTAAAATAGAAAGTGAAGACAAAAAGAAGATAAAACGAAATGCCTCGAAAACAGAAAAAAGAGAGATTCAAAAGATATAAAAATGGCTAACGAATAAAAAAAATGTTAAAAAATAGGGAAACTCTATGAAGATTAAAAGAAATAACGGTGAAAAGAATAGCTTGCATTATTTACATTATTTGGACAGCTATACTCATCTTCATTGTCATATTCACAACGTTTCGACACCTATATCTCTGAGATGAGGTATTATGATTACTTGCATTATTTACATTATTCGGATTGTTATCCTCATCTTCATTGACATATTCACAATTCTTCGGCCGTTGTACGCTCCGGACTTTATGTCTATGTCTTTCTATATATCTGTCTATATCTCTGAGATGAATTATTATAATTACTTGCATTATTTACATTATTCGAACTATTATCCTCATCTTCATTGCCATATTCACAACGTTTCGGCCGTTGTACGCTCCGGACTTTATGTCTATGTCTCTCTATATATCTGTCTATATCTCTGAGAAGAGGTATTATGATTACTTGCATTATTTAAATTATTCGGACTGTTATTCTCATCTTCATTTCTTAATAGACTAATGAATTTAAGCATTGGTCACGAATTTGGTGATATATTTATTTTCATTTAAATAATGTAAGTAATAATTCCTCATCCAAAAAAAAATCAGACAGAAATTACGTACAATGTTCTTTGAGTTTAGTCGTGGATGCTTTTTCCAGATTACTGCCGCAGTGAGGGAGATATACCAAGATTGTATTTTACTTATGTACACACACACGCGCAGAGACAGGCAGTAGGTTTCGAATCGTCTTTTTGTCTATATGACTGGGGCTAAAACCTGCATTCATTAATATCAGCAATTTCTAGAAGTAATGACAACCATTTTCTATTAGCCTTTTTCTATCAGAGGACATGAAAACTAAAAGCAGACATCAATACTCAATTTTGGTCACCCTTCAGATCCATTCATTTTATTTCGCCGGACGACCTTCATAATTAAATTACGTTATTATCTCTTTTCGCCTATTTTCTTGTCTTTTGCAGTTGTACATATCTGTGTCTAAAAATATATTTTGCCATTCTAAAAACCTAATATTTTGTCTTACAATGTATTTTAATATACATTCTCTTTTCTCAAAGTTATGGGGAAGGCAAGTTTGACTCCATCATCATAAGTACTGTTGTGGCTGTGAATCAATGTGATTTCTTATCTTAAGCATCGACGTTTCTGAGAATTCCTATCTACTCAAGCCAATTTATGTTTCGTCATCACCCACAGAACCATTCTGTGGTTTAAACTGTAAGTATCCTGGGTAGATATTACTTAGATTTCAAGTATATATATGCTCTCCCAGGGCCAGATGATTTTGAATACAGAATTGTTCTTCTCATACACTGGTCGCCAACTACAGGTAGAGAAGCTATTTAACCCAAAGCTGGATGGGGTAGAAAATACTCCTGCTTTTCGTAATGGTATTTTACGAATGTAACAATCTCGATCAAAACTGGAACTCTGCTCGCCGAATTCTCGTTCTCTAACCACTAAACCTCCTGCACATCTAAATTTGACTTATAGAGGAGGAATTATGCGATAGTGAACGTCAAACTACCCACATACCCATTCTTTTTTCTTTCTACCGCCGTAGTAATGATAAGCATAAGATGACTGGCGTTAGGACATAGGATCTGATAAGGTAACAGTATAAATGTAAAAATGCTATAATAAGAAAAATCAAACAGTCTACTGATGCAGTTACACCGCCGACGCCGATATAAATATCTGTTTGCTAGCATCGTCCAATACATACTTTTAAAGATTTTCGCGAAATCCTTCCATTCGTCTGATTGTCTCGAAATCATCTTCTTATTCCAATTCCAGTGAAAAATAAAAGAGACTTAGTAAATGCCTTCAGCAATTCTCATGCCAAATATCAATAAAAATAATTTCTCATTTACGTTTGGCAAAAACGTAAGGACGCCTGAGACGAGTCAGAATGACAACAATGTTAAGTAAAGTTACGATTTCCTATCTGCCTCTCCAGTTGCTTGATGCCAATACATTTTCAATGCAGCCACCATTCATTCCTTTATAGACAAGAAAGTGGGCGTCATGCCAAGGTGAAAGTCGAAGAATCGATTCAACTCTTCCAGTCTGCTGAGTGTTAAGAGAGGAACCCAACTCATAAAAATAGCATTGAAATATTCTTTCCGGGGGCTTTATGTGCCAAAAATCAGAAAATCTATGAGAATATCTCAGACTAGAACGGCGCTTCGCCGGTGGGATCAAAACAGACAACTTCATTCTACGCCTTCCAAATGACTGACATAATTAATCACACATTAATCAAATAATGTCGGGAGCTTTTAAGATTAACATGCGTTTTAGCTTTAGATTTTATTTTCTCAGGATCCCAGTAATAATGAGAATAACGCAACCATTAGAGTTTATCTGGGATTAATATGGCAAAGGGTAATTGTAAAGGTAGTGTTTTTTTCTAATGTGAAAGAGAAACAATAATTCAAACTAAAAAGTAGAAAATGCTACTTCAGCTGTAGATAGGTAGGCAACTATAAACAACCGGATTAATGCATACTAGCAGTACACGTGGATGGCCGAGTGGTTAGAACGTTCGCATTCTGATCATTAGACCCGTGTTCGAATCTCACCATGGTCGATTTGTCAGGAAGGTGACTTCTTGATGCTATCGGGTCTGAAGGAGACAAGCATGCGGCACCTGTGTTGATCCATGTGAGGGAAATTGGATAGTTGATGGTTGTGCTAGCACGAGTTCACAAGTCATCGTGACCGAGGGTTTAAGTGTGCTGGCTTTCTTCAGACTGTTGATCACGCTAGATAACGGGGCACTGTCTCAGAAACTGGAACTAAGGACCACTTAGTATAGCTGTAATATAATTCACAGGTGGACTCTGTGGGTGTTGAACAAACACAATGTATGCCTGAGAAAGGGATTAGCTAGCCGTACTGGTAAAAGGCATCGCCTGCTGCGCCATTTTTTATTTATTTTTATTTTTTTGACATGAAAATTTCACGCTTTTCGGATCAATATTAATTCTTAATTTAATGATTAGGGAAGTTCTTTGCCAGTTTCAAGACCATAAAATACCTGTGGGAAGTCACCTGTTGCTTTTTTTAAGACAGGAGCGCCACTAGCACGCAAGGGGTTACAGGGAGTGGGGAGCAAGAGTAAAGAGGGGAGATAGAAGAAAGGATGAAGAGAAGGGCGGCCAATAGATCAAGGCATCGGGAGATGTCGATTGACATTGCATTTAAATAATTAAAGATTATAGCTATCAGGGAAGCAAGTAAGAGGAAGGGAGTTCCACAGTTGGGAAGTACGAGACATGAAGCTATTGGAGTAGAAGAGACGGCTAACCGTTCCGACAGTGAAAGGTTGGGATTTGTTAAATATTTAATTTTGACAAATTTAATAAAATATTACAATGACAATTATGTATGAATGCAGGTAATTATTCAAAAAGGGAGAGGGTACAAATGAAAAAGATTAAAAATTAACTGTTTTCCTTTTCATTGAAGCAGATGTTAGACGCATGACAGCGTTATCATCTCCTCTATCTTCCCTTTCTTTCTTTCTTTCTTTCTTTCTTTCTTCTTACTAAGTGTAACTTACTTGTGTCACAAGGTCGAAAATATGGGGTACCTAGTGGGGATTGAAGTCACTATTCAATCGTAACTGAACTCGCGAGACAAGCTTGTTGATCATTACACCATGCCGAAGTGCCCCTCTCTTATTATGTATGATTTTTTAAACAAACCAGCGCTTCTATGTCTTCTTCCATCTTTCCTCGTAGCCAGAACGGAATGTTTCATTATGTATCTGAGGCAATGGCATGGCGTAACGCATGTGCTAACTAAATAACTAAGAAAAAACAGAATATTAATATGATCTATGTGTATGTATTAATCTAATAATTTTTTGTTGACACAGATGTGTCTATACAGAAGGTTTATGTATAGATGTTTCCATATACTTGGATTAATGTGGCATAAGTCTACATTAGCGGAGTACTGAGTCAGTTTTGGCCCAGGTTACTGATCATCAATATATACCAGGAATCGTTTACATCTCTCTCTCTCTCTCTCTCCCTCCCCCCCTCTCTCTCTCTCTCTCTATATATATATATATATATATATATATATATATATATATATATGCACAGACTTTCTTATCTTAGACGCATACAAGAGAAAAGATAACAGCGAAAATTGCACTAGTGTGTGTGTGTGTGTGTGTGTGTGTGCGTGTGTGTGTGTGTGTGCGTGTGTGTGTGTGTGTGTGTGTATTTGTCATATACCTTGTATTTATGTAGGTGTCTCTATCTTTGTGTCTGTGCGTATGATCTTATTTAACAAGTGGCCTACCAAGAAAAGAAATCGAGTGGGGGACGAGTTAAAGAAAAATGCGAATTGTGTGCCAAAAAGCCCACAAACGGCTGGATAAACATCAATGATGCTGATTAGGTCTTTTGAGTGGGTTATTGTGTCGCCAACGGCCGAAAAGACAGTTAAGTGTGATAGAAAGGGGAGGGGCGAGGGGAGATAAAGAAGGGGGAGAGCAAGCATCGTTCGGGAGTTGATAGCATTCTGACGAATTGTTAACCTTCGGGTAATTCTTCCCCTTCGATAGATATTAGAGAAGAACCAAGAGAGCAAAGTGGGGAATAGATCAAGGGGAAAAGAAAGAAAGAAAGAAAGAAAGAAAGAAAGAAAGAAAGAAAGAAGAACAAATAAAGAAACAAATTGAACAAGAAAAAGAAAGAAAGAAAAGAAAGAAAGAAAGAAAGAAAGAAAGAAAGAAAGAAAGTGTGAAGAAAAGAAAGAAAGAAAGAAAAATAAATAAATAAATAAAGAAAGAAACAGAACAAAAGAAAGAAAGGAAGAAAGAAAGAAACCAAACAAGAAAAAGAAAGGAGAACAAAAGAAAGAAACAAATTTAACAAGAAAAAGAAAGAAAGAAAGAAAGAAAAGAAAGAAAGAAAGAAAGAAAGAAAGAAAGAAAGAAAGAAAGAAAGAAAGAAAGCGTGAGTAAAATATAGAAAGAAGAAATAAAGAAAACAGAAAGTTAGAAAAAAGAACAAAATCGAACAAGGAGAAGAAGAAAGAAAAAAGAAAGAAAAATCTAGGTGAATGAAGGATAAAAAAAGAGGACTGATGATCTGAAGGAACGAAAGAGGACATGCAAGAAAGAAAAATGAATAAAATAATAAAAGAAATCAAGGATAGAAAGAAGAGAGAAAGAAGAAATAAAAGGGAAAAAAAAAGAAAAGTTGTAAAACAGAAGGTAAAAAAAAAGCTCTCCACTTTTGATCGAAGAATATAACGGCAACATTTTACTAATTTAAAATCAAATAATTGATCTTCTTAGTTTTTCAATAAAAAGCAATGGAATTATGACAAAAATATTCCATCGAATATTCACAATTATGGTCATGAATTAAATATTACAATATTTCTATACGATTATGCACAATAATTAAAAATACCGATTAGAATGTTGTTGTTTTTTTTGCTTTTATTTTAAAAGCCACTTTTATTATTTCACCATACTTAATTCGTTCACGTGATACAGCTATCATCTGTATGCCATCTACGATTATCCACAGAGAAATGGACAAAAGAGGAAAACAAAAAGAAAACATTTTAGGAAATATTAAATCTAAATGAATGGAGTTGTCGGAAGGGACATGTAACCCAAGAAACAAGAATCAATGAAAGCACTCATCATCCCCACCATCATCATCATCACCATCATCATAACCACCACTATTATCACCATCATCACCATCACCATCATCATCATCTGTCCCATAGCCTGTTGTGGGTTTAGAATCACTGAACAGCGACTGTTATATGTCGCAGTTGTGTGTCAGTGTTTTACTATTGGTTGAGAAACGGGACGCATAAAAATAGAATCATTCTGCTTTAAGAATGACCATAAATTTCTTTTATTTGCGGTTTCAATCCATGATATGGATGAACATGGCTCTTCACATCTTCCTCTCATTTCTTGTACTGA